GGCCCCTGTCCCATGGCGTTGTGCTGGCACAGAGGAGGTGGCAGGGGACAGCATGGAGGCCAGGGAGACGAGCTGCATCATGAAGCAGACACAGTACTACTTCAGCACCGTCAACGCCACCTACAACGCCATCATCGACTGCGGCAACTGCTCCAGGTGGGTCTGTCCCCGCGGTCCCACCCCCTGGTCAGGGCTGGGGACATCCCCCAGCCTGCCTTTGCCAGGACCCCTGCCCGCGTGGGGGCCATAGGAGATGCCATGCAGCACTTGGGGGGACTGTGGTACCTGGATGGGGGGACAGAGAGCAGCAGTAGTGTCCCCATGTGCTGGAGGTGCTGATGTCCCCAGGGCTCCTCCACATGGACACGGACCCTGAAAGCCCATCAGAGTCCCTGGGCAACCCCATGGCATGGGGATGGGGAGGGATGTGGAGATGGGAATGGGGACAAGAATGAGGTTAAGGACAGGGATGGGGATGAGGTAGGGGACAGGGAGGAGGTTGGGAACAGGGATGGGGAAGAGGATGAGGACAGGAGTGAAACTGTGGCTGGCTCAGCCTCCTCAGACCCATGTGCTGGCAGGGCTGGCACTGGGGACTGGGAGAGATCAGGGCACAGGGTAACAGGGGTCCCTGCTGCCATCGCACCCCCAGGCTTTTCCATGCACAGAGACTGGCCAACACCAACCTGCTCTTTGTGGTGGCTGACAAGCCCCTCTGCAGCCAGTGTGAGTCTGTCAAGCTGATGCAGGCAGAGGTAAGAGGTATCCTTTGGAGGCTGCATCCCACCGGGGTGTCGTGGCAGAGGGATCGGGGGACACGTGTGGTCTGTGGGACAGGCAGGGGGCAGGGAGCTGTGGGGTTGGTGGAGGTGGAGGGAGGTGCCCTGTGACCAGAGGGGCTGGAGGTGGCCGCAGGGGGACCCACAAGCCCTCGCTGCTGTGTCCCCGGTGGTTTCCTTGACCTGCAAAGCTCCCCCGAGGGACCCCAACCAGTGTGAGCTGGTGGACAGGCCCCGCTACCGGAAAGGCCCCCACATCTGCTTTGACTACAATGCAACAGTACGTGGGGTGTGGGGGGGAGCAGAGCTGGGGGGTCCCCTGGGAAGAGATGGGAGCAGGGGGTGCCCTCTGGGTGGGGGGGTATAGCCATGGGGCGTCCCCAAGGGAGCAAAGCTGTGGGGTTCTCCTATAGGGGAAATTTGGGCAGTGGGTTTCCCCTGAGCAGGGGACTGGAGCCGTGAGGGGACCGCAGGGGAGCAGAGCTGAGGGGTTCACCCCTGGGGGGGAATGGAGGGGTGAGTGCCCCCACAGTGGGGGAGCAGAGCCATGGAGTGTTCCCCTGAGGGGAACAGAGCCATGAGGGGGTCCTGGGGGCACAGTGCTCTGGGGGCACCCCCCTGATGGGGGTTTGGAGCCCTGGGAGGACCCAGCGTGGGGGGTCAGGAGCCTTGGGGTGCCCCCTGGGGAGATCAGAGCTATGAAGGGTCCTTAGGAGAGCAATACCATGAGGTGCCTTCCTGGGGGGAGAGCAGAGGCGTGGGGGTCCCAGAGAGAGCAGCACCGTGGGTTGTTCGGGGGGGAGGGGGCTATGCCACAGGGACCCTAGAGCAGGAGGTGTAGCCAGGCTGCAGGGGGGTGGTGAGTGCCCCTTCCAGGGCAGTGGGTGCCCCTGTGGTGCCGAGGCACTGCTGGGGGTGCCCCACGGCCCCCCCCTCTCTTTGCCCGCCCAGGAAGATACCTCAGACTGCGGCCGAGGGGCTTCCTTCGCCCCCTCCGTGGGGGTCCTGCTCTCCCTGCAGCTGCTGCTCCTCTACTCCAGCACCAGCCGGCACCCGCTGCCCCCGGCCGCCTGCCTTTAGCCCCCTGGCCGCCCCCGCCAGTTCTCTTTTCTTTCAACTTCCATCTCCATCCCCCTGCCCGGCCCGGTGGGGCGGGAGCGACGTCCCCTCCGCTGCCTCGGGGACCCCCGCGATGCCGCCCCGCTCTCCACACCGGCCGCAGCCAAAGAAGAGTCGGGGTGCGGGCAGGGGCTCCCGGCAGAGCGGGGACTGGGCAGGGGCTCCCCGGCAGAGCGGGGACCGGGACGGTGCCCCGGCGTCGCGCCCTCCCGGCCGCTCGGACTCGGAAAAGTGGCGTCGGAGCCCTCCGCCCACGACCCCCCCAATCCACCTCGCCTATTTTTTTAGCCTGAAGATTTTAAAGGAGATCTTTCTACATCGAGTTTCCAACATTTTCACCTGGAGACAGGCGGGGTTTATTGTCAGCAACGAGGACACATGAAAGAAAAAAAAAAAGGGGGTGGGGGGTGAAAGGAGAAAAAAAAGAAAAAAAAAAAAAGAAAAAAAGGACTTTGACTTGAGTGTGCGGGTCAGTAGTATTTGTTCCAGCGGTACCGGCCCCCGGGTGTGTGGGGCAGCTCCAGCATCCCTGCGGGCTGGGGCTGAGAGCGGGCAGGGGCAGGGCCGGGGGGCAGTGGCACAATGGAGCCCTGGTCCCTGCACTTGGCTCAGCTGTTCTTGGGCACAGATGTTGGGGTGAAAAGGAGGGGGGAAAATATTTTTTGTTTCTTTTCCGTTCTGCAGATCACTGTGAATCCTGCCCGCCCAGCCCTGTACCCCCCAGCCCTGCCCTACACCCCTCGTCCTTCCAGGGGGACGTGCTGCTCCCCTGGGGGACATGGATGAGCTCCCGAGTGGGTCACGCCACATGCCCCGCAGCGGGACATGCCGCACGTCCCCGAGTGCCAAGTGGAGCGGGAGGTGCCACATATCCCCAGAAGGGACGTGCCAGGCCCCCCTGCCCGTCCCTCGGGGCACCATCCATGGCGAGGGGAGCAGCCCCCGGCTGCTGCGGGGGCCCTGGCTGGGGGGCACGCAGTGCTGGGGGAGCGGGAGGGGCTGGGGCTCGCACCGGGGAGCTCAGGTGGGGGTGTTTTGTCTCCCCAGTCAAAATGCTGGGTGCCAAGGAGGGGATGAGGTAGCTGCTCAGCTCTGGCACCCCACTAACCCATCCAGAAGAGGTGCCGCAGGGCTGGGGGGGTCGAGCACAGGGTGCCCGGCCGTGACAGCCCGGGATGCTGCGGTGCAGGGGGTGCCATACCCACCACCCGTGCCCCCCACTGCTCCCGGCAGTGCTGGGGGTCCCTGCCCGGGCAGGCAGCCCTGGGGACCCTCACCCCCCCCCGGGCCACCCCGCTCAGAGCCACCCCATCAACCGGGTCAAGGGGAGCCCCCTCGGCACGGCCACCCCGGGGGGGCTGGGGAGGGCGCCAGGCGCTAATTAGTGCTGGGGGTTAATTAATGGTCATTCTGCTTGTAGCTTTTTCAGTGTGTGTTTGGTTACTGTCTCTGGGAACCGTGTTTGAACAGATGGCTCTGTGTTACCGGGAGTGTGTGTACTTCTGTAGTCTAGTTAGGTGCTCTGCCAGAAAACCACCACTATACATACCTATAAATATATACATATATAGTCTATTTTAAGTTAAAAACCAATGAGACGAAGGGGCGGCGTGGCCCCGGGCCCCCCCGTCCCGCCGGGGTTGTGTCCTGCCCTGTCCCTGCCCAAAAGCTTCTCTCTGCTCATTCAAAGGCGTTGGGTTTTTAAATTTATTTTCTTTAATTTATTTTTTATTTCGTTGGGTTTTGATTTTTTTTTTTGTACAGAAGAGTTGGAAAACTTAAAAAAAAAGAACAAAAAAACCAACAAAAAGACAATTTGTAAGATATTGTGCGTGTGACTCCTTGTAAAATATTTTCAAATGGTTTATTACAGAGACTCAGTTATTAAATAATGTTCATATTTTCACTTCACAGGCGGTGGTTGCATCATTGCCCGGGGGGGTGGGCACGGCTGGGGGGGGGTCACAGCATGTGGGGTGGCACAGGATATTTGGGGGGCTGCTGCCTTCACACGTGCTGCACCTCTGTGAGGCTGACGGGCAGGGATTTGGGCACAGGCAGGGACGCAGCAGAGTCGTGGGTTCGCAGAGCCCCACACGCTGCACAGGAGGGCTGGGGGGCAGCAGAGGCTCAGCCTCTTCCCAGCCCCCCCTCCAGGCCCCCCCATCTCCCTGTGTCCCCTCAGGACTGTGTTGCCCCTTCCCCAAATCCCTATGTCCGCTCTCCCCACTCCACGTCCCCTTGTGTCTGTGTCCCCACAGCCCTGTCCCGTGGGTTCAATGTCCCCGAGTGCCCCCTGTGCACAGCCCACCCGTGTCCACGTCCCTTCTTCCAAGGGTTTGCGCCCCCCGTGTCCACCTCCCCATGACTGTCCCACTCACGGCCCCATAACCGTGTTCTGCCACCCCTTTTCCCCATGTCCCCCGTGTCCATGTGTCCCCGGCCGTTTGTCCCGTGTCCCTCTGTGTCCATGTCCTCCCCGTTTGTCCCACATGCCCCCGGGCCGTTTGTCCCGCGTCCCCTGATGTCCGTGTCACCCCTCATGTCCATGTCCCCCGAGCTGTTCGTCCCATGTCCCCTCTGTGTGCATGTCCCCCCGTCTGTCCCGTGTCCCCTCATGTCTGTGTCACCCCCACGTCCATGTCCACTCGTGCCCGTGTCCCTTCCTCATCCCCGTGCTTCCCAGCCGTTTGTCCCGTGCCCCACCGTGTCCATGTCACCCCCGTGTCCGTATCCTCCCGGCGGTTTGTCCCGTGCCCCTCGTGTCCACGTCCCTCTGTGTCCGTGACCCCCCTTGTGTACGCGTCTTCACGGCCGTTTATCTCGTGTCCCCCCATGTCTGCGTCACCCCTCATGTCCGTGCCCCCCCCGTACCCGTGTCCCCCCCCGTGTCCATGTCCCCCGTGGCACCCCACCATGTCCATATCCCCCCCGTGTCCATATCCCTCCCATGTCCATGTCTCCCGTGTCCCCCCCCACCATCTCCGTGTCCCCTCACGTTTCCGGACTACAAGTCCCGACGTGCCCCGCGACGCCCCGGCCCCGCCCCGCGGCGCGCCCCCGCCCCGTCGCGCGCGCCCCCGCGCAGGCGCAGCCGCGCTGTTTGTCCGCGCCCGGCCTGTCCCAGCAGCGGGGCTGAGCGCGGCCCGGCCCGGGCGGAGCGGCGGCGGCACCGGCAGCGGCACCGGGAGGGCGCGGGGGGGAGGCGGGCGGGGTGGGGGGCCCGGACAGCCCCCGCGGGGCCGCCCCGTCCCGCCCGCGGGGCCGAAGATGCGGCGGTACCTGCCGGTGGCCCGGCAGCACTTTCTGGCGGCACTGGCCGGCACCAGCGTGGTGGTGAAGTCGCTGAGCGCGGCCGCGGTGCTGCTGTACCTACTCTCCTTCGGGCTGGACACGGCCTACGGGCTGGCGGTGACGCCGGGCTACCTGCTGCCCCCCAACTTCTGGGTGTGGACGCTGCTGACGCACGGGCTGGTGGAGCAGCGCGCCTGGGGGCTGGCGGCCGCGCTGGCCACGCTGGGGGCGGCGGGGCGGCTGCTGGAGCCCCTCTGGGGAGCCCTGGAGCTACTCGTCTTCTTCGCCGTGGTGAACATCTCCGTGGGGCTCCTGGCGGCCCTCGCCTACTTCCTCACCTACGTGGCCTCCTTCCATCTCGACTACCTGTTCGCCGTGCGCATCCACGGCGGGCTGGGCTTCCTCGGCGGGGTCCTGGTGGCCCTCAAGCAGACGATGGGGGACAGCACCGTGCTGAAGGTGCCTCAGGTCAGGATGAAGGCTGTCCCCATGCTCCTGCTCCTCCTCCTGACTCTGCTGCGGCTCGCTGCCCTCGTCGAGAGCAATGTACTGGCCTCGTACGGCTTCGGGCTCCTCTCCAGCTGGGTCTATCTCCGCTTCTACCAGCGGCACAGTAGAGGCCGCGGAGACATGTCTGACCACTTCGCCTTCGCCACTTTCTTCCCCGAGATCCTGCAGCCCGTGGTGGGTCTGGTGGCCAACCTGGTGCACGGCGTCCTGGTGAAGGTGAGGGTGTGCCGCAAGACCGTCAAGCGCTACGACGTGGGCGCCCCGTCCTCCATCACCATCAGCCTGCCGGGCACGGACCCCCAGGACGCCGAGAGGAGAAGGTACCGCCCGCCCTGCTGCCGTGGGGATCGTGTGTTGAGGGACAGCGAGGGTCGGGTTAAAATCCGAACAAGGAGGAGGGGGTAGGTTTAGATGCAGGTTGCTAAGCAGGGACCGTCTGCATGGGGGCTACCCTGCCATGGAGGTGGTGAGGAGCATTTCACGGGGCTGGTGGGATGTTATCCTGCTCTTCAAGATGTGGAGCAGTGGGGAGATGCTGGGGAAGGGGCAGACAGGGTTTGGGGTCCCTGCAGAAGGAAGGGGGACAGCCTGGGGAGGTGCCAGCCCCGGCTCACGGCAGTCTTGCACCCTCCCGGCACAGGGGAAGGCAGTGAGTCAGCCCCACGCCCCAGCCCTCCTGCACATCCGGCGTTGGCCCTCCTGACTCCCAGCAGGAGGGTTTGGACAAGGCGTTGGCATTCCTTTTTCCCTGCCCTGTTTTATGCCTCTATTCCCCATTCCCAGAGCAGCCCGTATGCTCCCTGACAGCCTCCGAGCGCACCACGTGGCGCAAAAACTCATGTGTGTAGTCTGGGAGCCTGTGTGAGTGTCTGTGGAGCGGTCCTGTGCGCTCCGGGTCGTCCCCAGTGCTGCTGAATCCACCCTTTCCTGCTGGGAAGGAGCCAGGGCCGGGCTCACACAGTGCCCCGTGGGGCAGAGCCGTCAGCCCCTGCCCTGCCCCTTGGACCCAGGGTTAACCAGGTGTGCCCTTGCCCCACAGGCAGCTGGCCCTGAAGGCTCTGAACGAGCGGCTGAAGCGCGTGGAGGACCAGTCGGCCTGGCCCAGCATGGAGGATGAGGAGGAGGAGGCAGCGGCGGCCAAGGCTGACACCCCACTGCTGCCCGACCCCGGCGCGGCTGGCAAGAGCCCCGGCCAGGAGTCCAACCTCATCAGCTTCCAGGATGCCCCGGCCCAGCTGTGACCGGCCCCCTTCCCGCCCTGTCTCCCTTGGAGAGCTGCTAATCCCCCTTGTATCCCGCACGGCTGGGAGCGGGGACTCCTCCCGTGGCACAGGCAGGGGGACACCTCATTCCAGCAACGCTTTGCTGCTGCTCGCGGCCAGCACCAGGCACCCGGGACGGTGACACTGCCGCCACCGCGAGGACAGGGATTGCTGGAGCCGCTCCCCTCGGCGCGGGCCGGGCCGTGGAGTCAGAACAGTCAGCGGGGGCTATCCCGGGACAGGGACACGGGGCTGATCCCCACCCCAACGCCGCTGCGCTCGCCCTTGTGGGATAGAAGTCAGCTTTTCCTCTGTGCCAGGGCTTGGCCAGAGCACTCAACACTTATTTCCTCCCTTCTGAAGGTAGTTTTGTCCTGAACTGAGGGAATGGGAAGGCTGGTGGGTTTCTTTTCCAGATGTCTTTCCCATGGGGAGCCTCCCACCACCCTGGGCAGGGAGGACAGGCCACTGGTCAGGAAGGGGCCTCCCAGCCCCTCACAGCAGTGGTCCAGCACTGCCAGCTCCAGGCTTTCTGCAGTGGGGATTCTCTGCTCCTCCCTCTCCTGCCCCCCTCCCCCTGCGAGGAGCCGGTGCCCTTGGCTGCTCCCCGGCTAATCCGTTTGTCAGATTACACTAGAAGCTGGAATTAAATTTTTATGGTGGAGCTCTCGCTGCTTCCTCCAGCAGCAGGTTTTCTTTCCTGCAGGTAGAATATGGGCTCCCCCCTTCTCTTTCCCTCCCTCTGTGTTGGTGGTTTTTTTTTTCCTGAATGGAGAGGATGCTCCCTGCGACAGCCTCCTCACAGCTCCTGATCCAGCGGGCAATTCCCAGCCCGGGATGCAGGTCAGCGGTGTCGTGATTATTTTTTTAAAGGACCACACGAGAAGGTTTTGTCAAACGGGAAGAACACGGACGTTTGGGTATCAATAAAGAGTTCTTTGAAAGAGTTGGCTCTTGCAGCAGAGCACGGGCAGGGCGGGGGGCCTGGCCCAGAGCAGCCCCCGGGGCTCTTGCCAGGAGCCTGGGCAGGGGGGTTCTTCCCAGGTGCTCCCAGCAGGTTGGGAGAGACCCTTTAGGAGGAGGTGGGAAATCTACAGGGGGGATGTGTGCCAGCACCCCAAAAAGTCACGTGTCCCCCCCGCCAAGCAGTAAAGAGGGCTTGTTGCACTGTAGCTGCCTGAAATTTTTATTGAATAAAAGCTCTGGATACAGAGGAATTTTTCAGCCTGGGAGCCGCTCCCAGCTCTCCAGCCCTGCCAGGAGCAGGATATGTGCTGAGGAGTTGCAGACAGAGCCTCACAGCAGCCCCGAGGGTGGGCAGGCTGGGAGAAAGGCTGTTGTGCCAGCAAGGAGGTCCCTTCCTGCCCTCCCAAGGGCTCGTCCCCCAGGCCTGTGCCTCTCCCCATGCTCACACTGTTCCCTGTGCCTCTCCAAAGGACAAAATGCCTTTGCTGGCTGCACGTTCACAGGCTGGCTCAGTCATTTGCTCTGTAAACTGACCCCACCTCGACAAGCCGAGGCTGTGCTGCCCCAGCCTGGGGAGGGGTTTGTGCGTGGCAGCGAGTGCCCAGACCCGTGGCCTCTGGGCAGGGCTGGCCGCTCTGGTGCTGGGGAGCCCTCGTGCCATGGGGACACACGTGCTCCTGTACCGTTGCCTCGGGTGCCACCACTCTGCCCCAGCCCTCCCAGGGCCAAAAGCCACAACCGTGCCCTGTGCTTTCCCGGCCAAGCTGCCCCCTGTGGCAGGAGAGGCAGCGTGGTGCCCACTGTGGCCTCCCAGGAGAGAGAGGGGACTTCCCTGCCCTCCTCACTAGGATGACTCCTGTCCTGCCTGCTCGAAAGCAGTCCTTGTGTGGGAATGGGAAAGGAGCAGGAATCCTGAGCGAACCCTCCATTTCCCAGCACTGAGCACCAAGCTGCTGCAGGGACCAGCAGCTTTACCTGTGCTGGGAAATGTCCCCATCGGGGCGGGTGGGAGGTGTCACACACACATTGTAGCTGACACTAAGGACAATCCAGGACCAACAAGAGACAAGGAAGTAGAAACAAAGTTCCAAGGAGACCTTGTGCAAGCAGGAGGGGCTGTGAGGGGGAGCCCCGGCCTCACCAGCTCGCTCAGGGGGTTCGGTTGTGCGCCAGGCCCTCAGTGCTGGCTCCGCTTGCGGTACAGGTACGCGTTGCTCACCTGGTTCATGATCACCAGGCTGGTGAGGAGGGGGCACAGCATGGCCAGGTACCAGGAGACGCCGGTCACCGCCGTGGTGAACCAGAGTGAGCACATGCCCAGCATGAGGCTAGCACAGCCCAGCAGGTAGCCCACCAGCCCGGAGGTGGCGTGGTACAGCTTGAGCTTGGCCAGCGTCCAGTTTTTCATCAGCTTGGGGTAGAGCAGGAGCACGCCCCCGGCGCACTGCCCGCCCGCGTATAGCACGGCCACCAGCCCCGTCAGCCCGTGCCAGGTGACGAAGTGGCCCTTGCCGTTCAGGTGCTTGTTGTAGGTGATGATTCCCAGCCCCAGGAGCGCGCAGAGCAGGGCGAGCAGCTGCAGCACCCAGTGTGCCCGCACCCGCACCTTGCGGGAGAAGGAGCGCAGCAGCGAGGTCTCCGGGGAGAAGATCAGCAGCGCCTCCGTCATCAGGAACGAGAACTGGGAAGGCAGAGGACAGCGGGGTTGGCACCGGCCGAGCACCCACCCCTCCCCCAAGGAAACTGGGGCTCGGCTTCCCGGCTCCCGGGGGCTCCCGGGGCTCAGCCTCGCACCGCCCGGGGGCTCCACCGGCACGGCCCCTGTCTCTGCCACGGTGCCCGGGTTGGCGGGACTTACCGCGAGCGCCATGAGCAGCGGGTGCCAGGAGAACAGACCTGCAAGGGAAGGGCAGGATGAAGTGAGCGGGGAGGTCTGGCCCGGCCGCCCCCCCGCTGCCCCGGTCCCGGCCCCGCGACACTCACTGGATCCAGGCCGCGCCAGCACGGCCACGGCGGCGGGGAAGCCCAGCGCCACGAGGTGCGCGGCGGCGCCGGCGGCGACGCGGAGCGAGCGGTACAGGCGGGACTCGGTCTCGGCCGTCAGGGCCATGTTGGCCGGGCGGGCGGAGCGACCGCCGCCGACACTGCGGGGCCGCGGCGCGGGCCGCTATTGGCCAAGCCGGGCTGTCCGTCAGCACTAGAGCCCGCCCCCGCCGCGCGGCGCCGCCTCTGAGTGGTGGGAAGAGCTGTCGCTCATGAGCGAGGCCCCGCCCCCGGCGGCGCGGCCGTGTGCCCGCAGCCCCGCTACGGTGGCCGGCGGGGTCGGGTCGTTCGCTGCGGTGCCGCCATGGGCGGGCGGATCGAGTGCGTGTTCTTCAGCGAGTTCCACCCCACGCTGGGGCCCAAGATCACCTACCAGGTGCGGGGCGAGGGGCCGAGAGCGGGCGGGTTGGGACTGGGGCACGGGAGCGCCCATGGGGGAAAAGTGGGGACAGAGACAGCGGTGGCGGCTGCTCCCCGGGGCTCGGCTGGAACGGAGTCTCCTGTGCCTCCGCAGGTCCCTGAGGATTTCATCTCCCGGGAGCTGTTCGACACCATCCAGGTGTACGTGATCACGAAGCCCGAGCTGCAGAACAAGCTGATCACTGTGTGAGTGCAGACCCCCCGTCCCTTCCCCGCTGGGTGGGGGTGACATCGCGGTGCTGTGACAGTGCCGGGTCTCAGGGGGTGCTATCCCCGTGGCCAGCAGGTTCATTGCCATGCCTGCAGGTGCCCGTGCAGGGATGAGTGTCTGATTTGGGGGTGGCTGGTGCTGCGTGTGCTGCTCTGTCAGCCTCAAATCCAGGGAAGCCAAACGAGTCAGGAGAGCTGTGCTGGTTTTGAAAGGAAACTTGTTTTCTTCTCCGATGACTGACTCTTTCCTCCCCCTTCTTCAGACTGAGTTTTGCACTCTGAGCGTGGAGGGATTAGCCATCATATTTCCTGCAAACTAGAGAAGCCCCCACATCCACAGCCGACCAGGAGCTGTCCTTGTGCAGGGCTCAGATCTCCCCGAGGTTGTAGGTGCAGGTTTTATGTGTCTTCCCACAGGACAGCCATGGAGAAGAAGCTGATCGGCTGCCCCGTGTGCATCGAACACAAGAAGTACAGCAGGAACGCTCTGCTCTTCAACCTGGGCTTCGTGTGCGACGCCAGAGCCAAGGCCTGTGCCCTGGAGCCCATTGTGAAGAAGCTGGCTGGCTACCTCACCACCCTCGAGGTGAAACCCGAGTCTGGCTGCCTCCCGATCCTCCCCACAGGGTGTGGACACCCCACTGGTGTCCTGGAGCACATCCTGGGGTACTGGGCATTGCTGGGAAGGGCATTGTACTGGTTTTACCAACTTCAAGATCACTTGAATTTTAAGGGAGAATGGGATCCAGATTCCTATAGCCTGCTGGAGGAGCTGACGCGGTTTTCTGCTCTTTCTAGCTGGAAAGTGGCTTCATCTCCAACGAGGAGAGTAAACAGAAGCTGGTCCCCATCATGACCATCCTGCTGGAGGAGCTGAATGCCAAAGGGAAGTGCACCCTGCCCATAGGTATGGCAGCTGTGCTGGCCCATGGGCGGGGCTGGGTGGTGCTGAGGGGGCAGCTGGGCCATCCCCTGCCTGGGTCTGCTCTGCCTGTGCTGCTCCCAGAAGCTCCCTGCCTGTCTGTGCTTGGAGCTGGGGGTGTCTGAGCCAGCCTTGCCCTGGGTGGCCCAGAGGGATGGGTGGGATGGGGTTAATGGGCTGTAAACACCTTGTTCCATGTGGCATTGTGGTGTCCTGGGGCTGATGGGCGGGGAGCTCCGGAGGGAGCACAGGTTTCCATGAGGATTGAGCCTTACCCTTTTCCTGGGCAGATGAGTCCAACACCATCCACCTGAAGGTGATCGAGCAGCGCCCGGACCCCCCCATCGTGCAGGAGTACGATGTCCCCGTCTTCACCCAAGACAAGGATGACTTCTTCAACTCCCAGTGGGATCTCACCACGCAGCAGGTCTGTGTGCCTTACCATGGCAGCAGGCTTTGAAAGGGAGCTGTTTCCAGACTGCCTGGGCAGTTGGGCTGTCCTGGAGATCGCCGCAATAATGAGCAGAGTTTGGTGCCCCTCTGGTCTTTGTGCTGCGAGCAAACCATTCACCCAGCATGAGCATAAAGCACTGCTGGGGATGGAGCTGCCCAGACACAGAGGAGGTTCTTGGGCTTCAGGGTGATGCCTGGGGCCTCTCTGATCTCTCCCCCCTTAGCTCTTGCCTCCTCCCCTCCCAGATCTTGCCCTACATAGACGGCTTTCGGCACGTCCAGAAGATTTCCGCGGAAGCCGACGTGGAGCTGAACCTGGTGCGGATCGCCGTGCAGAACCTGCTGTGAGTGCCTGGAGGGCCTGGACAGCCCAAGGAGGTGGGTGGGGGCTGGCAGAGAGGGTCTCTCACATCTCCCTGTCCATCTGCAGGTACTATGGGGTTGTCACGCTTGTCTCCATACTCCAGGTGGGTCAGGCCGTGGTACTGTGAGCGGGATTTGGGCAGTGGCTGTGTTGGGGGGACAGCAGGGTGGGAGTGGGCTGGGTCTGTCTCTTGGAGTCACAGCTGAACAGAGCTGGTTTTCCCTCACTCTCCAGTACTCCAATGTCTACTGCACCACTCCGAAGGTCCAGGACCTGGTGGATGACAAGTGTCTCCAGGAAGAGTGTCTGTCCTACGTCACCAAGCAAGGTACAGTGACCCCACCTGGGGCTGCTGGCAGACAGGGAGTCGTGCAGGGGGACAGGACAGCTGACTGGTGACTTGTCCCTGCAGGGCACAAGCGAGCCAGCCTCAGGGATGTCTTCCAGCTGTACTGTGGGCTGAGCCCTGGCACCACTGTGAGAGACCTCATCTCCCGCTACACCGTGCAGCTCCAGAGGGTGGATGAGAGGTCAGAGCCCTCCTGCAGGTCCCCAAGGGCAGTGGTGACACCAGGGGTGGCAGGGACAGTGTGGGGGAGCAAGCAGGGAGTAGCCAACCCCTGCGTCTCTAGGGTAGGAAACATGAGGCAGTGATGGGGCATGGTGGAACCAGAAGGGACTGCAGGGAGCCAGGGTGTTTGGCATCCCAGCACTGTGGTCCCAGTCTCTTCCCTCCTTGTCCCCAGGAGGCTTATCCAGTTTGGTTTGATGAAGGGCCTTATCCGGAGGCTCCAGAAATACCCCGTAAAGGTCACGCGGGACGAGCGGAGCCACCCGGCCCGGCTGTACACAGGCTGCCACAGCTACGACGAGATCTGCTGCAAGACCGGTACGGATCCGGGCTCCACGCAGGCCCCGGGGCCGGCGGGAGACACGGGAACGTCTGCCTGCCCAGGGCTGTGTGCTGGTTTGGGGATGTCACCCTTCGGGAGCCCTCAGACTGCAGGGAGATGGGACTGTGGTGAGGCTCTGTGCCAAGCCGGGCTGCCGAGCCCATGGTGCCAGGGGCAGGGTTGGGGAGCCCACCCAGCCCCTCCGACACCGGTGCCAGGCACCCCACTGACACCCCACTAATACGCACTGCCTTCCCCTCCAGGCATGAGTTACAAGGAGCTGGATGAGCGCCTGGAGAACGACCCCAACATCATCGTGTGCTGGAAGTGACGGCGGGGGCGGCCCGCACCAGAACCCGCGTGTCCCCCATGTCCCCCCAAGCCGCGCGTGTCCCCCGTGGGTCCCCCGTGGGTCCCCCGTTCCTCCGCGCCGCCAGGGGGCAGCAGAGGCCGCTCCGCGCCGCCCGCGGCGAGTCCTCCGCGCCGGCAGGGGGCGGCAGCGGCGCCACCGTTGCCATAGCGACCGTGCGGACGCCATGGCCGCCGTGCCCGCGCCGCTGCCGCCCGCCGAGGCCGAGGCGCTGGTGCGGGCGCTTCAGGGCACCGAGCTGCGGGACACCGGCGGGCAGGGGTGCGGGGACAGGGTCCTGCGAGGGGGAACGTGCGACAGGGTCTTTAAATTTGGGGGGTCCCTGTTGGGGCTCTTCGGGGCGAGGAGGGATCCCGGTTTTGCTCCCCCCGCCCCCCCAGGGGGTCACGGTGGGGGTAAACGGGGTTGCCAGAAGGTTTAGGGTAGAGAGGAGGGGCCCTGGTTTTGAGGTGAGCCCAGAGGGCAAGGGTGGGGTGAGGGGAGAGAAGGGCTGCAGTTGTGGAGCCTTCCTGGAAGGACTGGGGAGGAACGGAGGGTTCGGGAGTAGGAGGGCGAGGAAAGGTCGCGGATCTGGAGTGTCCCCAGAGGGTCCGTGTGGGGTCGGGGGAGAGGATGGGTCACAATTCTAGAGCCTTCCTGAAAGGACTGGCAGAGTTAGGGGGGTCTAGGGGGAGGGGAGCCAAAGAAGAGTCCCAGATCTGGGGTGCCCTGGAGGCTCTGTGTGGGAAGGGGTGATGGAGAGGGGTCCCCCAGTCCTGTGGTGTCCCCAGTGAAGGTGTTGCTGGGTACAGGCAGGAGGGCAGGGCTGCCCTGGTGGACCTGCTGCTCCAGGGACCGCAGGCTCAGAGCACAGCAGGGGATTTTGGGGGTTCCAAGAGCAGGTTTCCCTGCACGAGGGACCCTTTGGGAGCGCAGCAGAGCCCCTGTGCCGGATTGGCCAGGGGTTTGTGGCACAGATGTCCTCGCTGGCTGCCCCCCAGATGGCTTCGGCAGCACGAGTATGTGGAGAAGCTGAATATGCACGGCATCCTGAGCGCCTCTGCTGGCCAGGAGCAGCTCCTCACCGAGCTGCTGGTCACCTACGCCAAGGTGAGCTTCCCTGGGGGCAGGAGGCATCCCCCAGCTCGGCTTGTTCTGTGGGCAATGTGCAATTTTGGAATAAAATGGTGAAGAATCTTGTGTCTCTGGAAAAGACATTTGACTGGTGACATTTGTCAGTTTTGTTTTTAAAAAAAAAAAAATTAAAGATCAAGCTGTGGTATTTCTGCTTGTTGATCTCTGGTTTCTCTCTTGGAGATTGTTTTGGTGTCTTTCGTGCACTGGCCCTGCCAGTTGCGGATCTCCGCCCTATGCCTGAGGTGTCCCAGTCCCAGGATGTGCTGGGCTGCACCAGGGTATGTGATTGCCTGGACCTGCCCAGCTCCTCAGGGTCACCTTCCACCTTTGCAGCCCCAGGAGCTCTGCCTGCTGCTCTGTTGGGAGAATCTGTTGGTTCCTGAGCTGGGTGAATACAGAGGATGCCCCAGGGCCACCTTCCTCCCTGGGAGGACTCCAGTGTGGCTGACCATTAGCAACAAAACTGGTTCCCCCTGCAGCACTGGTCTGAAAGGCATTGCTTCCCCATCCCTTCCCTGTCTAGATTCCTGTTCTCATTGGGGAGCTGATCTCTGTGGAGATCTGGAAGCACAAGGTCTTTCCCGTGCTGTGCCGGCTGGAGGACTTCAAGCCAAGGAGCACCTTCCCCATCTATGTGGTGGTGAGTAGAGGGCAGTGTGGAAATGGGGTGGGCACAGCAACCCTTGAAAATAAATGTCACCCTCAAGGTGTCAGAGCTGGGGTTTTATATCTCGCCAGGTTGTGGTGGGCAGTGGGACACAGTGGGAAGTGCCTGATTTCCTACAGCCCCAAACAACAACATGCCTTTGCCCCCAGGAAGGGCGGGGACTTGCTCCCAGGGAAGGTTTGTTTTTGTGCAGGGCTTTACCCTCTCTAATCCCACACAGGGGCTTGCAGAAGCTGCTGGATGCAGCAAAAGCCACTCCTGGAGGTGGCTGAGCTCCAGGCTCACAGCTCCCAGTGCTGCCCTCGCTCCCAGGCAGTGATACCCCTGGGGTATTTGCCCCTCTCTCAGCCCTGTTTTTCTCTGGCACTTCCAGCCAGAAGCTCTCTGAGGTTACATGCCTCTGTCTTAATGAAAATGTAACTTTTTTCTTACTTTGCTCCTGGGACCAGTGGTCCTTTGGGCCATTCTTGGCAAGGGAGTGATCTCCAGAGCTGGACTTCGCTGCAGAGGGATGCAGCACTTGAACCAAGGGAGATCTGCCCAAGTCTTGGAAGCTTTAGCCCATTTTCAGTCCAGGGTAGCACCTTGCTGGGGCAAGGTGGTGTCTTCCCTGAGCAGCCAATGGCCTCGAGGCAGTTATCCTATGGTTCTCAGCCCTGGGACAAGGCTGTCTGCCCAGTCCCAGGGGCTGGGAGAAGCACAGCCATGCAGAGCACTGTCCTGGCAGTGGCTGTGTGCCAGAGTCAGGGGCTGCAGCTTCACCAAGGGCTGTGGTTGTCCTGCCCCTGCAGCACAGGCACTGCCCTGCCTGCTGGGAAACGTGGCTCTCCATCAGTGTATTAGAGTGTCACAGGCATGTTAACATAAACATTAATATGAACTGCATGAACTGGGGTTGTTTTAAAGGTTGCATCACTTGTATTTTTCTCTTGGACTAGTTTTTTTGGCCACAACTACACAAGCAGGTTCTTAGAAGAGCTCTTTTAGCTGTCCCAGTGCCTGTGTCCTCAGTGCTGCTCCACTGTTAGCTCACTCTTGCCATCCTCCTCTCACAGCTGCACCATGAAGCCTCCATCATTAACCTCTTGGAGACGGTGTTTTTTTACAAGGTAAGAGGCAGGTTCAGCTTTCCTCAGTGGAGAATCCCTTGGGGGGTGGAAGGCTATGGCTGTGGGGACTGGCCCTGTGTGAAACTCATGTCGTTGTGAAGGAGATCTGTGAGTCAGCAGAGGACAGCATTCTGGATTTAATTGACTACTGCCACCGAAAGCTGACCCTGCTCGCGGCCCGGAGCGCCAAAGGACAGGCAGTGGAGCTGCGTGCCCAGGACCTGGCCAGCCCCTCGTCCATGCAGGTGAGGAGGAACTCCTGGAGCAAGCTGAGGACATGTGTGGTGGAGAATGTGGGCAGCCTGCAGAGGCACGGGGGAGCCTTCCCATGGAGAACCCCTTGGCTGTGATCCCGGCGAGTCCCGCCCATCTCGCAGGGTGTCTGTGCTGGTGCTCCTCTGTTGCCAGCAGCTCCACCCTGCAGCCAGGCTTCTGCCCTCTGTGGTGACAGTGACAGGCTGAGGCTTCCTGCGGGATGCACTCAGAGCTCTGGGATGGGACATGCTGGAGAGTTGACACTGCAGGGGTTTGGCCATTTGCCATTGCTCCTGGAAGCTGGGGGGTGTCTCTCCCTGGAGCTTGGCGAGCCACCCTGGGTCAGGCTGCCGCTGGAGTTAAACATAAGAGGCTTCACCTATGACTAGGAATCGTCCTAATGTGCTTCCTCCAACTTCCTTGGCTCCCTAAGAGATACCTCCTCTGTGCTAGCTTGGGCCAGCAGCAAGCCTGGAACTGTTCCCAGTGAGGTGTTCCCAGGCTGCCACACACACCTTCCCGCAGTGGGAGATCTCTTTGCCTCTGGTGCTTCTCAGCACCTGAAATTGCACATCAGGAGTGTCTGGAGAAGCAGGGTTAAAAAGGGAGAGCCTGTACCTCCCTGGGCCTCTATCCTTTGGCTTGTTGCCCAAGCACGTTCCCCTCCTCCAGAAAAGGGAAGGAAGTGGAGGGCTCTGGAGCACAATAGGGATGTTTTCCAGGAAATGTTTTCCCAGCTGGGGAGGGGAAGGGGCTGTCTCTGTTAGTGCTTTGACATGACTGAAGTTGAAAACCCAGACCTTTTTGAGCCAATAGGGTTCTCAGAAGCACTCATCTCCCAAGGAGCCTGGTTTCCTCTGATTCATTCCAGCCTCTCCTGACTCTTTGTACAATAACCCCTATGAAAAAGCTGTTCCTGCCCTCTTCTGTGTTGTGGAGCCTCTTGTCCTTTGTAACTGTGTACAGTGGTAACTCCTGTTCTGCTGTGCCCCAGAAGCACAGGCAAAAGATGGTCCCTGCCTCAAGGTAGCAGAGATGAGGTCTGGATAACGGGAGGAGCTGTAGGAAAAAGCCTCACTAGGGCAATTTGGAGAGAGAGGAAGAGCCCATAAGGCTTTCTTAGTAATGTGTGAGGCACCAGTACAGGGACCGCAAAGCTGCTTACCACAGAAATCTGGAAGGGAACTGCTGCAGTGGCACTTTGGAGAAATACAAGATGCTGAGGTCAGTGCTCTGCACACAGAAGTGTGAGCTGCTGAGCATCTGGGACTGGAGAAAAGCTCTGCCTGGGCCAGGGAGAACTTGGCCCTGCTCAGCAAAGCCATCCCCGTGGTGTCGAAAGAGGCTGAGTCAGAGGGTGGCCAGGCTGTTAGGCTGAGCATGTGGGGATGAGCAGGGTGTCCAATGCAGTCTGGGAAGGGAAAGAGGCTGGGTGGCTGGAGAGTGTGGCAGAGCTGCGGGCTGGGATAACCACAGGCAGATATTCTAGCTGGAGGGGAGAGGCAGATGCAGGAGGGGTGGATGTAGGGCTGCAGCTGCACCAGGGTCAAGTTTCTCTCTCCTCCTCTGGTTCCTCTGCAGTTTCCTCCTCCCTCAACCCTCACAGGTCTCTGCAGGGCCATGGGCCACAAGATGGTCCCCAAGGGGGAAGAGAGGAGAGGTTTGGGACCAGCCTCTTTCAGCCTCCTGTGCAGGAGCACTGCTGCTGGAAGTCGCTCATGACCTGTTAGGAAGATGAGGGATGAGCAACAGTGAGTTGCAAGCACTTGCAGTGGCTGCCCTGGCAAACAGGCAGGGAAATGAGAATGAGAAACAGCTTGTTTTGAAGGGCTCTGTTTTCCTCCCCAGTCTGTGGTTACCACTGCACAGTCAACAGCTCCTGGGAAATGGGGCCCGAAATCCCAAGGCTGTGCTTGTCCCTCCACAGGA